TTGAGAGGTCTCCAGGCTTTCGTCTGCCCTCCCACTCCTGGGATGTTGGCCCATATCCATCCTCTTCCCCCCAGGAAGCCAACCCCATTATATTGGCAGAGGTTTGGGCAGAAGTCAGCAGCACAATTCTTCCACTGGCCATCTCATTCTCTCCTCAGAGACCTCTGCCACTGCAGGAATTGTAAATGAAGGCTAATTTCTGGACAAAACTTCACACAGCCCTAAAATACACAGCTATCCACCTCTTAACTTTAGCTCTCTCATCAGCCTATTTGGTGTCCTGCCTGCTTAACTATCCCTTCGCTTTTCCCTGCTTGTGGTTCAAAACTGATAACTTTGCAAAACCTGGGACAAGTTTGTTCCCCTCCCCTGCCCTCCCCTGCCCTCCCTTCTCCTGTGGCGCTGGAACACCATTGCTGTGGTGAGGAGCTTCTTCTCCAGCATTGCTTCAACTCTTCCACGGGCTTCTTGGCAAGAGTCCGACGTGTTAATATGGTGGGTTCCCGTCATTCTCACCTTGAAAGCAGAGGTGGCAGTTTTGCTCTTGATGGATTTTTCTTGCGCTCGCATGCCTCAGTGGGGTCTCCTGTGGTATTGATTGACTTCTTCCAAAGATACTTATAGGGGAAAAAAATCTTGTTGTCTGAAGAAGGAAAACAGGTCAGACAAAGGTGAGAGATACGCACGCAATCCCACTGTTGAATGGGGAAGGCAAAGGCAATGTGTCTAAGGTTAATATTTTGGATCTGCAACTATTAAGCCACAGAAACTTACCCTTCTCCAGATATTGTTAGACTGCATCACCCACAGCCAATGGAGCCAATGACCAGCCATGGTCTGGTCCAACCACATCTGGAGGCCTGTTCTTGACCTGAACCAACAAAGGGGAATTCTTAGGGCTGGGATCCCCAAGGGACTAGGCCTCTAAAAGAGAGACACGGGCATGAGAAGATGTTTGGCAGGCTCAACTAAATGCATCTGGAGGCCACCAGGCTTAAAAGAAAAGCAACCGTACCTTGAGACCTTTCCTACAAGTAGGGCTGGACTTTGGGGGTGACGTCTAGGGACCTGCAGCTCAGAGATCCCAAAAGATTGTTCAAGAACCTCCAAGTGATCAATTCAGGATTGGCAGGAGAGGGGGGAGAGCAGCACCTGGGAGGCATCTGGGGTGAATGACTCACGTAATAGAGGCGTGCTAAGCCCCAGCAGATCTGATGCTGCTTACTCCATCTTTTCCATGCTCTTATTGATTAGTGTTCTGGGTGGTCAGTTTATCAAAGCCTTATTTTTTTATTCTCCAACAAAATGGTGCTCATTTCTGGTGAGTTCCTATGGCTCTTCAGAGGACAGCCACCTCCCCACTTTCTTGGTAAGTCCCTTGGATCCAAGGTAGGATTTCCATGGGGAGCATCAGAAAAGTGAAGATGATGGCCACTATGGCATGTTTGAAGCCCAGCCCATTTTTCACACAGGTAAAAAGAGGCAAGCTTTGATCACAAGGTGGTGGCCGCTATCTTGACTGTTTTTTGATATACAGTACAATACACCCTGCAGATTCCTCTGGTTAGGTTTGAGATGAACTCTTTAAAGGCATATCCTACCTTTGGTAGGATCGGGGGTCTGGAGCTTTTTTTGAGAACATGAGAAATTAAAAATTACAGTCATCAATATGGGACTTTTTAGTAATCACTGCCTTTGAAAGCTGTACCACCTGCAAATGAATGGGAGGGGACCTTTTTTTTTTTTTTTTACTGCTTACAACGAAGCAGTTGAAAGAGTAGGGCAATTCTTGGATTTATCTCTGATATGTGGTCCAGTCTAAACTAAGATTGTCATATATGGACTGAAAGGCCTCACGTGATCACTAGAGGGCAGCAGAGAGCTACAGAAAACCCTCACCCTTTGCTGCCATCTATTGGTGGTCTGAATTGTGCATCCCAGATCTAGTGACCCTAGTACAAACGTTGCCATATTTCCATTTTTTTTCCTGACAAAGAAGTTGTCATCGTTTTCCAAGGAATAAAAGACCTTCAGAAACCATGGATGATGCTGTGCTGACTAAGGAAACATTATGGTCCTATTCACACAACACTCTTGAGACATGGTGCGGGGAGGTACATGTGTCATGGGAACTCCAAAATTGAGATAATTGAGCCAACCCAGTGTCCCAGAGGGCATATCAAAAAGGGATTGAGAAGGTAGGTTTTCAAGGGCACCCACCTGATTATGTCACTGCTGATTTTTTCAAAAGTTGTTCCTATATTACCTCCCTGGGAAAGGAAAATGAGAGGAATATGGCAGGAAGTGGGGAGGGCAGTGACAGGCTCCTTGCCTTGCCATGAGGTAGTTGAGAGGACTGAAAGATTGGCCCTCAGATGTCTGGTCAAGTCATCCAAGATGATGGGCTGCCTGATCACAAAGGTGAGTTAGTGGACTGGAAAAGTGAAGAGTTAGGTTGTTCACATTACATGAACGGGGCCTAGGACAAGAACCAACGCGGGGAAACTACAGAAAAAGACAAAATTTGAATTAAGGAGGAATTTTCTTGACCATGAAGGCTCTGAAGCAGTGAGACAGCCTGCCTCCTGCAATCCTGGGTGCTCCATCATTGGAGATTTTCAAACCAAGGTTGAACTAGAGCAGGTTCCTCAACCTTGGCAACTTTAAGACGGGTGGACTTCAACTCCCAGAATTCCCCAGCCTGGCTGGGGAATTCTGGGAGTTGAAGTCCACCCGTCTTAACGTTGCCAAGGTTGAGGAAGTTCCTCAACCTTGGCAACTTTAAGACGGGTGGACTTCAACTCCCAGAATTCCCCAGCCAGCCCTGGACTAGAGGAACTCCAAGGTCCCTTCCAGCCCTGTGATTCTGTGACTTTCATATTATATTTTCATTCCTAAAGTAGCACATCTTTTTCTTTGTTTCCGCATGTTACAACACATTTGTTCTGTTTTCAAGAAATCAAATCAAAATACATTTGATTGAACCATAAATGCCTTTGATTTAGGGCTCGGATGTATTTTCTGAAGCAGTGGCATTTGCCAGCCTAGGATTTCGATATCTGAAGCAAGACTTGGGCAGTTTAAGAATGTCATGTATTTTTTACAAAAAAGAGGAGTGTTCGTCCTTATTACAGCAAAGAACAAATGTTTGGAAACTTGGCCAAATGAAAGCATTTTGAAAGTCAGGATCCCGAACATCATAAGTGGCTTCTTACTACAATTACTGTGAAAAATATCCATGCTTGATCTATGGACATCTGCTCCAGTAGCCTGTCCACAACGTGGCAGTTATATGCCTGTGGGAAGCCCTTGAGCAGGATGTGGAACTGATCTAGGGAGTGATCTTTAGACCCATTCTGTCTCCAGTGCTGGCAATAACATATTGTGACTAGCAGCCATCAATAATTTGCCTAATTTTCTTTGACAGCCACCCAAATCAGTGGCTGTCGTTACATCTTGCCGTTGCAATTTCCACAGTACAGTTTCCCATGTGCCGCCGGAGGACGCCTGATGGAAAAATGCCATTCTGAAATTCTTCCTGATGGCAAGGCAGGGACAAGGAAGGTAGAGCAGTTGACTTGGTCATAAACGTGTCCTCAGCTTGTGCTGGTAGGACTAGAAAGACTGAGAGCTGAGTGGCAGGGGACTGGAGCAACTCAACAGTCCTCTATCACCCTGGCTGGAAAAAGGCCAAGATCTAGAAGCCAGATCTCGGGAATGTTCAGCAAAACTGGAGGAAAGGAAAAGCCACGATCATGACTTGAATGAAGAATCTTTACTTCTGAAACCCAGTCATAGACTGGAGGTGTTTGGATGACATATAAACTGAAAAGGTTTAGCAGGGAGTGTTTGTACCAGTCGTTCTGTAGAGAGCAAGTGGCCAAGGTTGAGGAACCCTGGATGAGAGGAACTCCAAGGTCCCGTCCAACCCTGTGATTCTGCGACTTTCATATTATATTTTAATTCGTAAAGTAGCGCATCTTTCTTTAAGTCCTGGGAAGCAAGATAATATTTGGAAGTGGCTGAGGCACACCCTCCCTGATTCACTGGGGCATAAGAAGGAGAGGAGGTCCAGCACCATAAGTCTTGTAAGATTCTGTTATTATGGCCAATCTCAATGAAGTGTAGTTCTAGTCTTCCTGTGGAGTGGATTGTCTGGTCAGGTCCACCTAGTGGGGCTGACACATCCCTAACCCTCCTCTTCATACATGGTTCTTTACCCAACGTTTGTGACCTTCAGTTGAACCTGAAGCAAGCCACCATTTGGGGGTTCCAGAAACCTGTACCCAGGTTTGTCATTGTTACAAGTCTCCATTTCTGGAAATCTAAATGATGGCTACAAAGCTTGGATGAAGAGCTGTGCAGTACACATGCTCATTCATTGAGCCATACATTCACGTACCAAAGGGGTGGGGCTTCAATCGCATGGGTGTAGTTGCCATCTTGACTTTTTTGATCCCTCTACAGCAGTGTTTCTCAACCTTAGCACTGGCTGGGGGATTCTGGGCGTTGAAGTCCACACATCTTCAAGTTGCTGAGGTTGAGAAACACTGCTCTACAGACATCCCTGATGGTGTGTAAACTTCATTACACTTCCCCCACTTTTGGAGAAGCTTATATTTGTGACCCATCCAGCAATAATCATTGGTGGTCACCTGGGGAGAGATGCCTATTTTAGGAGGAATGGCAAGAAATACCTTCCATTGGCTACTCATCAGCCAGGCAACACCCTAAAATAATCTCCCCCACCCATGAGGATAATACACTTCCTCACCCAATCAGAACAGCTGTGAGAATTGGGATATTTTACCAGTCTCCCATCAAGTCACTGTGCCAAGATAACAAGGTCTGAGTTACACAAGGGCTCCTTACAGAAAAGCATCCCTGCACCCCATAGTATCCCAGCCCAAGGAACCCACACAGCCTTCTAACGTTGTCCCTCTTTTCTTTTTTTTAATCCCCAGCATTAACCAGAACGGTGTGTTCTTCTTCTCTTGCAGAACTCCAGCGAGAAGGAAGCATCGAAACCTTGAGTAACAGCTCAGGGTCCACCAACGAAAGCATTCCACGTACTTTTGATGGTTACCGGTCACCTCTTCCCACCGAGAGCCAGCCTCTGAGCCTCTTTCCAACGGGTTTCCCATAAACCATGTTCCTGGGGAAAAAGAAATCTTCAACTCAAACTGGCCAACCAGCCAGTCTTCCACAGAAGTTCTTGATGTCCATCTGGCTCAGTGGTTCCCTAAAACACATGGACGCCGTGTCTGCTTTTCGCCCTTCCGGGACTCTACAAACAAAATGCTGCGTTTGCTCTATTGTGCAATATGACTGGGGAGATTCCTTTCATCTGAATAGCTTTCTAATATTTCTCCTCCCAACCCTCAAATCAAGGGAAGTGGCTGTTTTCAAGAAGTATGTTAAAGCTCCTTGCCAAAATGTGCTGCTCCTCTTCCCCACCGCTCCCCTATCTCCATACGGAGATTTGGACTCAAACTCAATTCATTGCTAACTGTAGGACGTAAAGCCGCTGTCCATATTTCGTGCGTTTGGAGAACAGGTCCCCTAATTCAGAGTTGTTGGTATCTTTGCGAATCTCTATCCAAAGCATCACAGTTGGACTAAACACGAATGAGGACTAGATTCAGATAGAGCATGGATTAGTTTCCAAGATTGTTAGTCAGTTCCTGAAATCCACCTTGGTTTGACATCTCTGTGCTCTTCCCCTGATATCAAAGCCAGGAGTATTATATGCAAAGGAGCTCTTTATTTTTTTTATTTTTTTTTCCTCTTCCTTTCTTCCCTTGGGGAAGGTTGATCTTTGATTTTTCTTTTTATTTTAGAAATAGACTTCATTTAATTATAATTCGAGCTGCAAATTTCTTTCCCTAGGCTATTATGTTGTTCCTTGGAACGCCTCACGTCTATGTAAAAATGCATGTGATCTTGAATAAATTGCTATGGCAAAAGGATTGCTTCTACGTTCTGGGGCAAAGTGGTGTTTGCAGGCTCTGTGGGCTCTAGAGAGCTTGCCATGGCTTAAGAGAGAGAAAAGGGCAAGAAGCCCCATAAAAATGGGACAGAGTTATGGGCTTCCAACCATGTTGTTGCAAACACCATCTTGACTCTTTTTTGACCCCCCCTCCAGATGTCCCCAGGCTATAGGTTGGCAAACTTTCCTGATGCTCAGGCTTGGGAGGATGGAGCTTGGGGGCTCATGGGCAGTGCTTGCTGGAAGAAAGGGGCAGGCCCTGTCATTCCTTGATGATTTCATCAGCAACAAACAATTGACCTCTTCTTCAGCTATATTGCTAACATACATATAATGTAGAAGTCATATATTAATTTGATTTACCTCCCGGTTTTATAAAATCATATAATCATAGGATTGGAAGGGACCTTGGAGGTCTTCTAGTCTAACCCCCTGCCCAAGGCAGGAGTCCTCATACCATCTCAGACAAATGGTTGTCCATTTTTTTCCTAAAAGTCTTCAGCGATGGAGCACCCACAACTCCTGGAGGCCAGCTGATCCACTGCTTAATAGTTCTCAAGGTCAGGAAATTCCTCCTTATTTCCAGATTGGATCTCCCTCTGAGGAGCTTCCACCCATTGCTTCTTGTCCTACCCTCAGGTGCTATGGAGAGTCAATTGACACCTTCTTCCCTGGGGCAGCCCTTCAAGTACTGGAAGACTGTTCTCATGTCTCCTCTCAATCTCTTATTTGGGTTGGCAGTTTGAGGCTCATGAGAGACCTTAACATTTTAAAAAATATATTTCTTGTAGTGCAAGACTAATATACCTTATGCTACTGCAGCTTGCCACCAACATTGGCCGATTCTTGTTTTACGTGCTAGAGACCACGCAGTGTCTATGTAGTCACATGCTGGGGAAATCCAAGTGAAAGCCACCCAGTGATTCTCCTGAACTCTGATCAGTTCTCTTACCAGGTCCATGTAAATTCATGTGCATGTGCTTCTGGTTCCAGTCTAAATCATCTTTTCCCACTTGAAAAAATGCCATTGAATTAAATCCACTTGGCTTGCACACAAGGGTGCAAAGGTACGTTTGCGGTGCTAGGTTCTGTTCCATCTTGGGGAAAGGGTGGCTTTCTTGAGGAAAAAGAGAGGCAGTCTGCGCCGCCTAACAGCCCCTTCCCAGCTTGGTTTGCTAACAGACTAGCCACCCTTGTTGCCCTGAATGTGACTGACTGGTTGTCCCCTTTAGGAATGAAGAACGGCTCCCGTGGTCCTAATAAGAACCCTTCAGCTTTTGAGAGAACAAACGGGCAGTGGTCCAGAGCTGCTGAGTGGCCTTATCGGTCCTTCCCCAGCCTTGATGCAAAGAGGAGTAGCAACCCCCTTGTTTATCAGATGGCCTGCTGATTACTAAGGCATGAAGCTGAGATTTTTCTCCTCCTGTGATTAGCCAACTCTTGGCCTAAGGTAGCATGATAACCCCCGGCCCGGAAACCTCTTCAGGCTTTGCTGGAGGGGCTCATCACTAAGACAAAAACGCTCCTCAGACACATGGCCCAAATACTCAAAGATCTCTAGATGAGTAGGACCACCCTTCCCTTGAAAATGACAAGAATAATCTTCTCCATGGTGAAGGGCAAAGAAGACTGCCTTGAACTGGGGGCCTGGACTGTAACTGTGCTGGTGAAACGCAACTTTTAGAACTACTCTAGAATTTCATCTTGAACGAGTTGGATAGAAGATCAGCATTACATCTTACCCCTGGTCATAGTGGTACTACTACAAGTTGTAAATGCTGACTGGTGATATGTAGCCATGTTAAATTTAAAGGAAAGATTATACAGACTTTACTCTTTACTTTAAATTGGGGTACCCATGGAGGAGGTAAAAAAAATCATGTTGCCAGGTGCTGTTGCATGCTCAAAGCCCTCCTTTTTAATGTATCCAGCCAAAAAAAGGGGGGGGGAGCTTGAATTGTGTAGCTACACCCACCATCTTGGCTTTGTTTACCCCCCATTTACATAAAAGGAGAAGCTAGTAAGGTGTGATTATAAATATTAAATGATTGGTGTTAAATCTTAAACCCTAACCTTCAGATGGAGGAAAGAACAAGGTTTTTAGAATTCTGCTTCAAAATATACACAATCCCATGTACCCTACATTACACCGAGTATGTATATGAAGTATTACTATTAGTAATACAAATGGTAAGCCCTGAATAGAGGACATTAAGTTTTGTACATTCTAAAGCAGTGTTGTCCAAACTTGGCCACTTTAAGATGAGTGGACTTCAACTCCCAGAATTTGACCACTATGTGGTAGTAAAGAGCAACACAAAACTCTAATGCTTTGCTGCCACCGAGTGGGACTTCAAATGTGGCCCCCCAGATCTCCAGCTCAAGGGTTTCTCTTATCAGTTGTACCCTTTAGAACAGTGTTGTCCAAACTTGGCCACTTTAAGATGAGTGGACTTCAACTCCCAGAATTCCCCAGCCAGCATGTTGAAGTCCACTCATCTTAAAGTGGCCAAGTTTGGACAACACTGTTCTAAAGGGTACAACTGATAAGAGAAACCCTTGAGCTGGAGATCTGGGGGGCCACATTTGAAGTGCCACTAGGTGGCAGCAAAGCATTAGAGTTTTGTGTTGCTCTTTACTACCACATAGTGGTCACACGGAGTCTTGCAGTCTGGGTTCCATAGCCCAAATTCTTCATAACACGTTTGATGGCAGCCACATTTAACACCGATAATGTGGTCACAATGGTATTCTCCAACTCTTACCACGCCTTAGAAGAGGAGGAGTGAAACCTGAATACATACTATCAGAGCTAGCTACAAAGGTAGTTTACCTTTATTTACACACAGAACCCAAGTACCCATTGTTTGGTTCATCACCATAATTTAAAAATAAAATAGGTTTTAAAATGTTAAGCCCAAGTAACACCCAAAATATCATGACTGGATTCAGAAGTCATGTTCAATGCCAGTTTGCCTGAACATCATTTCAACTGGCCTTGCCCAATACGGGATACCAAAGAAACCACATTATAGCTCAGTGCAATGTGTGAACCCTGCCCCAAACAACTGCAAGCTTGCCAAGATGTGTGATGTATATTGTTTGGCTTCTGCTTTGACACATGGAAGGTCATGGAGTTAATGGCCTCAGAAGGATCTCAACACCATCCTGATCTTCTCAGATGACCCCATCCTTTTCCTCCATCTAACCTGATCTTATTTCATTATGAAGACTCAACACTTTTTTAAGCACAGAGTTCCTAAAGAAGTTTCTACCTTTTCTGTTGGGCTTTTAACTCCCTCCAAATTAAGCTCAGCTCCAGGTGTCTGCATAAACAAGTCCATGAAATCCTCTCAGCAACAGTGTTGAAGTGATTTTTGCCACCACTTTCTTCTACAATGTGTTTTTTTTTCTTTTTTAATTCCCAGTCTAGTCCACAGTCCTGGGATTTCATGATGATGTCTCACCCAAATGCTAACCATGGCTAACACTATTTTGCTTTATTCAAGATCAGTCAAGTTTGGCTAGCTGCTGCTACTGTTATGTAACATAGTTGGTAGAATTATGAACAAGTCCTCCTAGTTTGGTGTTGAAAGTTATGTTTCATCAGAAGTTTTTCTTCTGAGGGCTGAGAAATACACCAGATAATTTTTCCTCTATCCCTACGCCAAGGAAGTCACAGCAGCTGAACTTCCTTACAAAGCCATTGATCTGCAATTGTTGATGTCCTTGCTGAAGAACATCTGCAGGACCTTTAGGAGTAACTTTATTTTTATTGCTCCAGGTTTTGAGACCATCTCCAACCACCTTGTGTTCTTCAGGAAATGCAAAGTTCAAATTCCTCCCTCCCCCGTGAGCCTTATCAATGATGGATGAAAGTGTTGGGAACTGTAGTCCATTCTCTGCAATGGGTGCTAATTTGGGAAAACCAGTGGGGAAAACCAGCTTCGAAGTGCTAAAGTGTTAAACTTCAAAGTTGGAAGCATATCTAACACTTTCCTTGGCAAACCAGGATGTTGGGTCAAGTTTCTATGTGACTGTGTGTGGTTTCCTGGAAAATTCAGGTCACAGAGAAAGGAGGCTGTTGACCAAGGAATACCAGAGGTGCAGTCTGCATTGCGAGATCTTTGGGGTTTTCCTTAATTCAGCTGAAAGACTGCCTTTGATCCTCCTGATTCCTACAAATGTTTGGCCTGGATTGTGAGCGTAGATGCTGCCTTTGCTTTTTCTCTGGACTATAGGCGAATGGTTTAGAGATTTCTCAGTGATCACACACAAACACACAGGGGGAAGGACTAGATACAAAAACTGACATCCAGTCTCCATTTCAAACACACTTCCCTCTGAACTGGTTGGTGGGCCTCCTGCTAAACCCTGTGCTTTTTGATGCAGCAGGTCAAGTTTGGTGTAACATTCTTCAAGGGAAGCCCAAGTGGGTTTCGCTAACCATCTGGCCTTACAAAAGGTTTGTCTTGGGCACCCTCAGGAACTTCAGGTGGAATAATAAAACCATAGAATTAGAAGAGGCCTTTGGGGTCATGAAGTCCAACCCACTGCAGGACAGGGTAACAAATGAAAGAATCCCTGGGAGATGGAGTTTCACCTGAACTCACCCAATGAAGAAAAGCTCTTGGTTTAGAAAAAGTAGTCTCCTACTTTTCACATTAAGTAGCAGTGAATGTTCATCTGGGTTCCTTCCTCTCTTCAGTTGGGATGGGTACCTGGCTAATTTTATCAGAATATTCAGTTTTCCAGTTCTTTGCTTTTGAAGAACTGAATACAATTCTCACTTAAC